TCAGCACAGTTCTGCTGTGCGAGATGTTTGAGAAGCTATAGCAGAATTGAAGAAAGGCAGTTTTTCACTTCTTCCACAGCCATGACAAGCAATCTTTAAATATTCCGTATACTGCAATCAAGTTAAGGATAAGATAGGGTTAGTGTAAGCATGTAGGCTGCCCCACACTAATACAAAAGAGCCTTCTGGGTTGATTAGGTTCCTTATTACACTGGTGCTGGAATCACCAAGATTGGTAACTTAGAATTCCATGGCTGCCATGATCATCATTCTACTGTCCCAGGTAGTTTTAAGATCCATTCATGAGGCTGGATATGCTTTGGATCAAGTGTTTGGACTTGGGGTGGAAGGCAGAGGAATTGATATTAACATCTTTCTATCCAGGACTGCCCATATTCTTTGAAGTTAGGGCACATCAGTCCCATTGGGATGACTGATGTTTTGACAGTTTGCCCTCAGAAGTTGATGAGCCATTTGAGTCTCTGAGCAGCTAAAAGGGATAAAATTGTTCTTCTGAGTTTTCTCTATTGATAATTTGGTAGGAATTTACAACAATCTCGTCTTCCACTATTGATACGAAGGCTCCTCACTACCAGCTTTGCCCTCACAGGTCACCTTGATTATAGATTACCTGAGACAGATGAAGTAAGAGGGAAAATGGCTAGCGAATCTGGGGCAGAAGTCCATGCTGATGTTGGTCTTTGGGAGGGCCAAGCTGTCACTGTTGGGGGCTCAGATAAACTCCAAGAACAGACCTGCTTTCCCTCATGGAGGGCTCTTCCTTACAGTGCCCTACTTTTTCACCAATTCATCTCCCTCCACAAAATCACACCTTCAAAACAAAAGATAACAAAACAGGCTTGACAAAGCCCTGGCTGGGATGATTTAATTGGGGATGGGTCCTGCTTTTGAGCAGGGGGTTGGACTAGATGACCTCCTGAGGTCCCTTCCAACCCTGATATTCTATGATTCTATGATATAGCTCCACAAATTTAAAAAGCAAAACTCCCTGCAGATAAATTTCACTAATGCCTCACAATCCTGAAGGATGAAGGCAGTCGTGGTTGATATATGCCTTCCCTTCAGTTCCCCATCTGTAAAATGGGGACAATGGTGCTTTCCACCATCATAGAGGTATTACGAGGATTAACACTACAGATTATGAGGTGCTCAGATGCTATGGTGATGGGAGTCATAAGTACCTAAGGGTATTGCTACACAGAAGACAGGAGGGTGCTTCCCAGCAAGAGTACCTAGAGACACGCTAGCTCTCCTTGAGCTAGCACATTAAAAATAGCCATGTGGCAGAAGCAGCACAAGCTAGCCATTTTGGGTACAATCCCACCCAACTCAAGTACCTGTTCATGCAGTTCACCTGAGCCACTGCGCTCAAACTGCTAATTTTAGCACACTAGCTCAAGGAGAGGTAGTGCATGGCTGTCTAGCAGTACAAGGAAGCATCCTCCTAGCTGCTCTGTAGACATAACCCTAAAACAGATTCCTTTGACAGCTCTTCTTGGTAGGACTGGATTTAGGGTCAAGCTGCAAGTAGCAGTGTAATATATGCAATATAATCAGGCAGTATTTAAAACCCTGTTGTGTAGAGTCCAAAGGAACTATAATGGTGGAAAAATGTCAATGAACCGCAATTCAACACCAAAAAGATCAAAGTATATATGCACTACATCCATCTAGGAATGAAGACAGGTAACAAGGATTAGCTGTAGTAAAGCTCCTATACATTTCTGAAAAGAGCTTGTGGATAAGTAAAGGAAAGATAGCATTCACTTTGACAAACAAGGTAGTGGACCAAATTCATCCTTGCTATAGTCCACTGAAGCCCAATGGAGTTACCAACAGGGATAAATTGACCCCAAGTGAGCACAAATTTTACCCCTAAAGTCTGAACACTTTATTATAGTTAAGTTTCAGCACAGGAAATGATGAAGCTAAAGGGAAGTGTACAGAATCTAGTGAATCACTTAGATAACCTAGTGAAAATCTTGAGAATCTTGCATATGGCAAAATATAATGAAAGATTAAAATATGATGCAGGCAAAGGACATTCATCTTTGACAGAATAATGTTCAGATAACAACATTTGCTGATCTAAGAAAACATATAGGGTTAATCTGGATTTGAAGGCAGCCAGAAAGTTTTTGTAGCGATTACTACATCATAAACCAGTGGTTTTCAACTGGTCGTCTGCAGACTATATCTAAGGGGTCCATGAAAGGTGACTATGAAATTAAAGTTTCAGATCCCAGAAAAGGCCTTCCATTTTTCTGATCAATCAAAATTATGTGAATGCCCCCATCTACAAGTCAAAACCTGGAAGCACTGTCATTATCATAGAAGCCCACAGTTTAGCACCCTTTCTCGCACTGTATCAAATGCCGTGCTGAACACATGCAACATTTATAGCTCAATCCTGTTCAGTCAGTCTTCAGTCTAAGACTTTTATGGTAGGTGTTCACAGACCACAGGTTGAATTTCCAAAGAGGTTTGCACCTCCATTCCAAATTTTTTAGGGGTCTGCAGATGAAAACGGGTTGAAAACCACTGTCATAAGCTATATTGCTCATTGCACTCTGACAGACATTGAAATAGCAAATACCTCCTGAATGGCCACATGTGCAAGAATTAAAACAGTGTAAGTATCAAGTTTGAAAATTAGAGGATGTATTCCTGTCTAGGAATAGCAGAACAGCAATCCATGGAAAATTGACCAATATTATATAAATTAGAGAATTTAAAAATAGCCTCAAAATATGCATAGATAATTTTAGTTGAGGATTAGTGTTCCAAGCAAGGATAAAAAAAATATAATTCTTCATTTTTAAACAGTTTCTCGGCATGCCAATATCAAGAAAAATGTTTGCATAATCATAACCAATTTCCTGTTGAACAGCTCAAATCAGGTTAAAAAAATCGAGACACTATCTGAGACACGGAATTTAACTTCTGTTGAACAAAGTCCTCAGTTCGTAAAGGATAAAAATATTTTACAGGTTTTGTCATTTTCAGGGGGTCTATGCTTCTTCAGTGTATGTGTATATACACATCTTCATGGAGCAATATATTCCTAAAGATGATTCAATTATTGCATGCATCAATACAAGGGGAGAAGTTATCCCTTATTGGAATGCTTTTATACTTAAATATTCAAGAAACCAAACAGCTTTTCAAGTTTTATAAGTAATGTAAGAGATAGAAGAAAACTACTGAATTATAAAACATTTGGTGTAGTCAGTTTGTAAAGACGGACTGCTAAATTTCACCTTGGCATTTAATTGAAAGTTATTGGGTGATTTTGCCTTTAAAATTTTAATAGGCAACTAAACTGAACATTGTACACAGTAAGCATCTTAATGTTTTATTCATTGAATTCTTTATACAGAATAAGTTTCACTGATATTTAATTCACTGCAGTATTCTGTTGGTGGTGCAACACAGGATTACATTAATTATAAACAAAGAACAAAGATCTGACTTTTTAAAATTATAATATATATATATATATATATATATATATATATATATATATTATAATATAATATATATATATTCATTCCAGTTGACAAATAGCATCACAAATACTGTATAAAAACTGAAATCACCATGGAAGCTAAGACCTACATTTTTTTAAATCTCCAGTTAAGTTTCCCTCTGTATATATTTACCAGAGATATTAGGAACAAAATTCCAGTACCTTGAAAATAAACAAGTCTATGGTAATTTCTAGCAACCACTATTCAAGAAATGCAGAAAACATACAAGAAAAAAATGTTTCTCTTCATTGAAGTCAGAAATCTGTCACCTATACACACTATGTATGCTCAAAATCCATAAAGTTGTGTATATAATGAATTTTAAAATAATCTGTAAAACATTACGTAACGAAATGCCACTTTTCAAACTCAATGTGTGGGATTTAAAGAATAATCTACTGAAAGAACACATTTAAAAGCAATACATTTTAGTAGCAAAATTTGCCTATAACAAAATACATAAAATACTAATCCGAGTTAAAGTGTCAATGTGAGATGCTCAAGACAACATAACATGTTTTCATGTTTATCAAGATACTGCTCTTATGATTATCGTAAAAATGCTCAATTTAAAAAAATTTAAAGCAATGCTTTTCATGGTTTGAACTTTCATTAGAACAATTATATGACAATTCCATTAGCCAAACTATGGAGAATCAATATGGAATGACATTATTCCTTGCTTTATAGCAGTACTAAAGATTACCTATAAACTTCACTTTAAAATAGCAATGGTATAATTTTCTAGTATCTTTATTTTCAGTTACTAAATATATAGCCATATAGTATTTTAATATTAATCTAAAGACTACACAAGAAATACTGACAATGTCAGCAAATAGGAGTGTCATACCAAGCTTTTTTTTTTTTTTTTTTTTAAATGAACCTTTTAGTAAGAGCTAAAGACAATTTCTAACCAGGCCAAATATAAGAGCAGCATTTAAACAACTCATTATGGAATAAGTGATGCAGTCATAATAGAATACATAAGAACAGATGATATTGCAAATATTTTTGGATCTATAATAAGCTTAACTTGAAATGGAGTTGTGGAAATGTATTTGTAACATAAAAAATACATAATTTTGTAATCAAAGATGAATTTAACATCATGGCCAACTAAACGTATACTTCCACACAGGAAGCAGAAACTTAAAAATGAAATTCACAACACAAAGACTGAAAATTGTTTTACCAGCTAGAACTTTTAAATATAGTTTTCTTTTTAGCCTCCTTCCATTAGAAATAGCCAGGTTTGTTTCCTGTACAGTTTGATACTTTGTCTATACCATATATAGTAGAAAAATAAATTCTTTAGCAACCTAGAAACAGTTTATAAAACTCTTGAAAGTTTAATTTTTCTTTGCTAAACATGCCAATGTTAGGCTGACACCTATAAATAAAAGCTATGTAGACAACAGATGTAATGTAGAACAAGTTAAGAATACAACAATTTACAGGACAGACTTTATTTTTGTACTTTATCAATTCCTGTGTGCTTTGCAACAGGAATAGGGCTTTTTGTTCTTGTTTTCTTAGAAAAGATAATTACTTGCAAGAATATAACACAAATATCCAGATAATTTATCATATGTATGTACTTCAACAGCAGCCTTGTTTATGCAATCATCTTAATCTAGAATGATAATCCAAGTCATAATTAGAAGTACAATACCTAGGACATAATTGGGAAAGGCAATTTTTATTTTAGGAAAATGGAGTAAATCAAAAACTCTTAAGAGCCTTAATTCTCAAAATCATCTATTTACTATAATACATAGAAGACGATTGCAAAATCTCATTATGAATGAAGATTACAACGGTGACCACCATAAAGCTTTTTTAAACTACACATAACATATCCTAGCAGCTGAGTGAACCAAATTTATTTTTTTCCCCTTTCCAGGCCCCCCCCCCAAAAAAGCTATAATTTGAGCATGAAAGAAAAAAACTGCTAAAAGTCTCACAAATATTTTTTACTTATGGCCTCCTCTCAATTCTGCTACAATGTGTAGTCTTCTAAAATGGTTACCACCAATTAAATGTTTAAAAAAAATAAAAATTAAAAAAAGCAGCACTCTTTTAAAGCAAAATTGGTACCAACATGAAAGAAAAAAAGTTATAATTAAAAATGGTGCAAAATGTCAGTAATTTTGAATTTTTAGTACAACATACCACAGAAAAAATATGAATACAAATTTGTGATTTTATATATACACTCCAAAGAGGTTAATTGTCAGTACCCAAAGTATTTATTGCTATATATTAGCAATGCATTTTTGTATATCTTTCAAGGGCCACACAAAAATAGATTTAAAGAACAGATTAAATTGAAGTCCTAGATTAAAACATTGTTTGGTTTACAGAATTTTACTACAACAAATTTCATGTTTATGTATGAAAAGTTAATAACCTTATATGAAAATGTCATGAACTATTTTCTACACACTAGATGTGTTCCCAAGTGGGAAAAATTAAAATATCTAAAATATATTAGATTAAGTTTACAAGACCATCAATGATCTTTTAAACATGCAGCTGTTTACAGAATTAACAGTATTACAAAATGTTTAATTCAGTAATGGAACATAAGGAAATAACTAGGAGACATCAAAATTTTTGCACAATATTTGAAATTCACTTTTACAACAAGCATGTCCTTGGCATTGTGCTGTAAGAAATAATAAGCAAGTTTACCCACCCCTCAACAAACTGTCCCACAGGTTTACTTAGAAGTAAAGATGGAAGGTGCAGGATTGTAATATTTTCAACAGTGCATTTTGCATTTTTTCAAAAACCATCCCAAGCATACTATAGCATAAGTAGCCAGGAGGTTACGAAATAAACTACAGCTGGGCCTCAGTTGTCTACACAGAATGCTTGAATGTGAATAACGCTGACAAAAATAGCACATTAAATAACAAAAACAGCCATAAAGCAGGCTGTAAGCACTGAATGTCTCAAAAATGTGATATTTTAAATCATTAAATTTCTATAGAAAAATTTTATTCACAATATATTGTGACAAACTGCCACAGGAATGATATAGTGATTGCAATAAGGTTTCATGCAGCAGCAGCTTTGTACTTTATAGCTATTTTTGTTTTTAAAAATTAAATCTCTCCAGTCATGCTTATCCCATGGTTTTGATCTGCAGTGTGTATGAATGAGGAAATACAGTATGGGTTATAACAAAAATGTCCCATCAGTTTGGATGTGAATTATTTTTCATAAATATGAAGTACATTACTGAATCCTGAAACATGCATGTCTAGCTTTATTTTCTGTCCAATGCCAGGCTGCCTGTGTCTTCTTCTATTTATATAATACCAAGAGGATCTGCTTGTAATTGTGGTTGTATCAGCTGAGGTTGCAATGGTGGTGGTAACTGAAGTGGTACCATGGGTTCCACCATCTGCACTGTGTTGGATGGTGGTGGCTGACATGCCACAGGGTTGAAGGTTTCTACTATCTCTCCATTGTAAAAGAAAAACTGGCACTGTTGAATGAAGGTCTCTATAACCGACTGGTGAATCTTGGTGGTAGACAGGAACTCTCGGTTTTCAAAATCAGGTCTCATCAGAGTTGGCCAGAAACAAATTGATAAATTATCAGCAGTCATAAGATTGGTTCTATTTTGCTGGCTAACCCTGAAATGAGAATACATTTTCAGAACACATTCACAAAGAACAATTAAAAATTATATACAAACAGGTCTGATTTTAAATATTTTCATAAACATGATGTTAATTCAAAATAATATTTTTACAAATATCTATTAAAACAATAGCCCATATTCTTAGATTAGTTACACTGTTGCAAATCCAGAAATGAATAAATTATTTCAGACTTACACAGCTAACACATAAGACTTTGACTCAGTGTTTTACTATTCAAATTTGAATCATGGTGAAAATTAAAATGCAAAAAGTTTTAAAACATTTTAAAGTAGGGACAATGAACCTATAGGTAGAGCCCAGCAACACTCAGGGGATTTCCTGCCCTGCAAGGTAAAATCCATTACTTCTGCATAATGTTTGACCTTTGCACTGGGGGGGGGGACCTACGGCAAATTTTGGAGTGGCTATAGGCCAAAAAAGACCTCCCCTAGCACCGCCCCTGCCTATATGTCTGACTTTTAAATTATAAATTACTCTTTTTTGCCGATCTCAGTGTTCTGATTGGTTTAATGCAGCTCTATAGCTGCTGAACAATCAAGCCCTCTAATGTTGTCTCAGTCCTAGGGATAGCCTTAGGGAAAATGGCACCCCCGAGCAAACTTCTATTTTGGAGGCAGAGTAGGGCTGGACGGGCTCAGGCTGTCAGCCCCAACATGCGCGGGGCTAGGGCTTACAAGTGGAGCCCTGCCATGTGTGGGGGCTTAGAGCTCATGAGCTCCACATAAGAACCTTGCGACTCCCAGTTTGGGGACACCTATTCTAGAAGAAAAAGAAGACAGCATGCCTATAAAAAGAGGAACATATATTTAGTGATGTCTAGATATCAAAAGAAAAAAGCAAGTAAAGATTGAAATATTTCACTTGATTATATGCTTTTCATATTGGCCAGTGATAAAACAGTGTCTGAAATTAAGCTGTGCTATTAAGCAAATTCCCACTGTTATCAGTAGGTGTTCTGCTTACATCAAGATACACAGGTTGAAGTGCAACATGTCTCCCCGCACAGTTACTTTGAGGAATACACTGTTGAAAGCTAGATGATTCTGCCATGTCAACACTAGCTAATGTCAAAAGAAGAGTATAAATAGCAGTAAGATTAACTTTTATTTTTTAAAATGTTTAAATTTAATATAGCTGGGCAAAGTTGGATAAAATGAATTTTGCGAAATTCAATGGAAAAGTTTTCACCTATTCATTTTGAATGGTTTGAGCCCTCTCAATTTTATTTTTCACAGAATTTCAAAGTCCCATTTTTTTTTTAAAAGTTTCTCTTGAGAAATCGCCTCCCAATTTGATGTTTCAGTTTTATATCGTTGACAGCTTGCGCAAAAGCACCACAGCAGCTTGAGTTCCAGCTGACTTCATTTTTTAGGTCTGGTACTCAAGTTCAAGATGCTAAAAAGGTATTTTTAGCTTAGGTGGGGAATAGGGAAAATCTAAAATACAAATAGTTGAGGCCAGGTCATGCATTTTTCTTTTTGTTCTGCAAGATGGAAGCTGTTGAATGAAGGGACATAAATTAAGCTGGAAAGAATAAAAAGGTACCAATATGCTGCTTCAGTGATTATCCAGAGACTCGGAGAAATCCTCCACACTGAGGGAAAAAATAACTGTATTGTACATTTCAGATATTTGTATAGATTGATAGTTATTGTACACCAGTGGCCTCCAACCTTTTTATGCCAAAGATCACTTTTTGAATTTAAGGGCAACCCAGGATCTACTCTGCACCTTCCCCAAAGCTAAGGGGGAGGGGTGCAGGCTCTGGGCTGGGGCTGAGGAGTTCACAATGTAGGAGGGGGCTCTGGGCTGAGCCTGGGGCAGTGGGTTGGGGTGTAGGAGGCGGTGAGGGGTGCAAGCTCTGGGAGGGTGTTTGGGTGCAGGAGGGGGCTCCGGGCTAGGGCAAAGTGTGAGGGTGCAGGAGGTGGTGCGGGGTGCTGGCTCTGGGAGGGGGTCAGGGCTGGGGCAGGGGCTTGGGGTGCAGGTGGGGGTATGGGGTGCTGGCCCTGGGAGGGGACTCAAGGCTGAGATACGGGTGCACTTACCTCAGGTGGCTCCCGGTTGGCAGCACAGTGAGGCTAAGGCAGGCTCCCTGCTTGCCCCGGCCCCACGCCGCTCCTGGAAGTTCCCCGTTCCCGGCCAATAGGAGCTGCGGGAGCGGTGCTTGCAGGCAGGAACAGCATGCCGAGACCCCTGCCCCCTCTTCCCCCCTGGGACAGTGGGGGCATGCTGGCCACTTCCGGGAGCGGTATGGGGCCACGGCAGGCAGGGAGCCTGCCGTTGCAGCAGCCCTGGTGCGCTGCCAGAGCCAGAGATCGTGATCCACTGGGAGAGTCCCTAGGATCAACCAGTCGATTGCAATTGATGGGTTGGTGACCACTGTTGTACACTGTTGAATCATTATCCTGAAATCAAGACTGTCTCCACAAAACAGGTCTATGTTAAGAGACTGTCCCTGTTGACACACAAACCTTCTATACCGGGGGGCAAAAATGAAGACTTTCTGTGCTATGAAGGGCCTTGTTTAACCTGCAAGTTTGGAACAGCTCTCTCACTCACTTTCCATTGCTGATTTCCCTGACCATCACCTTTTCTCCTTCAACATAGCTCCCCTGCCTCCTTTTAGTCCCTGCCATATCCAACCCTTCTGAGATTGCCAGTCTACCCACATCAGTGACTTCTTTAAGTCCTCAGCCTCTCCTCTGTTATCTCAGTAGATAACACTACACTTCCCTTGACTCCCCCCATTGTAAGGTTTGCCTAATCAAGCACAAGCCATGGCTCAGCCCCTGTCCGATAGCTGTTGCTTATTTTAATAAGCATGATTGTTTCACTGTTAACTTGTCCTCCCCTTCCTCACTGGTCTGCTTTATTCACCTGTTGTCTTTCACCATATCTAAGGTCTCTGGGAGCTTTTTAAAATTACACACATATAGCACCTGGCACAATACAGGCCAGATCCCTGATTGTTAATCTGTGCATATATAACCAACATGAATTTGTAGTGACAGGGCAAGAAATAGGCAGTTTTTAACAACTTTTGTCGGTATTTTATTGATTAGGTTAACTATTGATATTGCTCTGTATGTCCTACTATCTTTTGGATCATTATACACGCTTTTTTTTCAAAAACATATGGTTATACACGCTTCCAAACAGGAATAGGGGATTTTGCCCTTTCAGGGGAGTGACAGAATTTGTAAGCACTCAAGGTATAAAAAAGTCCAAAAAAGATGCATAGGTATTAAAACGGTAAAGTAACAAAGAACAGTACCATAACTAATGCCAATCAATATGGTTTTCTTAAAAAGTTATCTAGTTAAATAAATGTGTGTGTTTTTTGTTTTTTAAAGAGATTATACATTTGGTTGACAAAGGCAACTGTGTTGACATAGACTTCTGTAAGGCATCTGACTTAATATCACATGATATTTGGATTAACCAATCAGCACTATACAAAAATCAACATAGTACACATTATGTGGACTAAACACTGGGACATCCCAAAAAAGAACTGTAAATAGGGAATCATCACACAACATATTTTCTAGGGTCCTGCATGGATCTGTTCTTGGCCCAATGATATTCAATATTTTTATCAATGATCTGGAAGAAAATATAACATTGCTAGTAAAGTTTTCACATGACAAAATAGATGGAGTGGTAAATTTTAAGGAGAAGTCAGTTCTACTGAGTAATCAGAATTGCTTGGTAAGTTGGACTCATTTGAACCATTTTAATATACTCAGAAATACAAGGTCATACATCTATGAACAATGACCTTACAGAACGGGGAGGGGAGCCCTGAATTTTGGAAAGGAGTGCAATGCTATGCATAAGAGAGCTAATGCCATTATTGGATGTATAAGCAGGGGAATATCAAACAGGACTAGGGAGAAGGTATTATCTCTGCATAAAGCATTGATAAGACAAATACTGTGTCCAGTGCTGGTGTTCACAATTTTAAAAAAATGTTGACAAACTGAAAAGACTTCAGAAAAGAGGTACAAGAATGATCTGAGGTCTGGGAAACCTGTCTTCCTGTGAGAAAGTTAAGTGATGACTTCTTCACAGTCTGCATGTATCTACATGTGAAGAATATGTCTTACAGTAGAGGGGTCTTTAATTTAACAGTCAAAGACAGAATTTCCAATTACTGGAAACTGAAACTAGAGATTCAGACTAGAAATATGGTGTAAAATTTTAACAGTGAGGGTAATAAACCATTGCAACAGTTTACCTAGGAACTATTTACCTATGCTCGATTCTCTGTTACTAGAATTCTTTCAATTCAGCTTAGCTCTCTTTCTACAAGATATGCTTTAGCTCAACCAGAAGTTATGTGCTTGATGCAAGAACTACTGATAAAATGTTATGGCCTCTGTTATTCAGGAGGTCAGATTATGTGAACGTAATGGTCCTTTCTGGCCTTACAATCTATGAAACTCACTGGGAAGCTTGTCCCTTGTACTCTGTACTTTATCCAGCAGCAGCAATATGTTAGATTTTTAGGTTCTTCAGAAAATGATATATTTGTTTTATAACACAAGTTCCTGAGAATGAATTAAGCGTTATATAAAATTTTAAATGATTTTAATGCTTTATCATCAGCTCTTGAGTGGAGACGTTAATGAAATGACATTTTTAAAGTAACAGCTGGCTTTGTAGCCAATACACACACACACACACACACACACGGTTTGAAATGAGAGTTCCTTGTGATTTAGATGTGATCACAAGAGAGCTCTTGCTTCTTTAAAGTTTTCTAGTTGCAACTGAATTTCTGCTGTGCCTTTGTTTCTTCAGTTTAAATGTTCCTATGAAAATGTAGGATTCTGTCCTACTTTGAAATACAGCCGCGTATATTTATTAACAAGAACAACAACTGTTTTCTTGTTTTCAACATATAAAATGAGAATTTCCATCTTGGTGCCAGATCTTTGATATCCTGCACTCCTGCCAGGTGTGTG